ATCCCAGTGCACCTTTCGGTGCCTACCGGGAGCCACGTAGCGAGCCAAGAGGCTGAGAGGGTACGCGAGGTCAGGTCGTGTGCACGTCATTAGGTAAATGAGGCAACCCACAAGCTCTGGGTACGGACCACTCGGCTCTACGGACTCGTCTGAAGGTGGAGCTGGGAGCGAGTGGCCGGTAGACAGAGGAGTGAGCTGTGGCGAGGAGAACTGGAAGCCGAAGCGCTGAAGAACCTGGTGCACCATGTGTGACTGAGTCAGTGTGATGGTGCGCCGTGCTCTGTCCCGGGTGATCTGCAAGCCAAGATTGTTGCGCAGTTCACCCAGGTCAGTGTAGGTGTGTCTCTTCTGCAGCTCGGACTTCACAAGGGTCAGTGCCTCAGTGTCAGCAGTGGCAAAGATGAGGTCGTCGACGTACACAAGGACGTAGAACGGCGGCAGCGAGGTGTCGGTGCATAGAAACAGCGACGGGTCAGTAGTGTAAGGAATAAACCCTAGAGCCGCAAGTGTAGTCCTCAGTGTGTCTGGCGGAGACCGTAGACTGGCCGTCGGAGGCTCCACTGGGTACCTGCAGTGTCAGAACATTGTAGCTTTTACATTTGCAGTGCCCATAAGGGGTACAACCCAATTAGGGTTAGTACTTGTACCCAACTGTTTCATAGTTCATTCATTCTCGTTCGTTATTTTGACATGGAATCAGAGCAGGTTCCTTGGGCCCACCACCTGCTACGCTGCTAGTACCCTCCCCTTAGGCCCGTCGCTCCTAGCCTACGCGGCCCGTCGACCCCAGCGCCCGGCCCCGTCCCTAGCCCGCGCCCGGCCCCGTCGGCCCTTAGCCCCGCGCCCGGCCTCGTACATAGCCCGAGCCCGGCCCTGTACCTAGCCCGCGCCCGGCCCCATACCTAGCCCGCGCCCGGCCCCGTCCCTAGCCCCGCGCATGGCCCCATACCAGCGCTCTGCCCCGTCCCTAGCCCCGCGCACGGCCCCGAGCACGGCCCATTAGCCCCGCGCTCGGCCCCGTACATAGCCCGCGGCCCGTCGACCCCAGCGCCCGTCCCCGTCCCTAGCCCACGCACGGCCCCGTACCTAGCCCGCGCCCGGCCCCGTCCCTAGCCCGCGCCCGGCCCCGTACCTAGCTCGCGCCCGGCCCCGTACCTAGCCCGCGCCCGGCCCCGTACCTAGCCCGCGCCCGGACCCGTACCTAGCCCGCGGCCCGTCGACCCCAGCGCCCGGCCCCGTCCCTAGCTCAGCGCTCGGCCCTGTACCTAGCCCGCGCTCGACCCCGTAACTAGCCCCGCGCCCGGCTCCGTTGCGCGCCCAGCGCCCGGCCATGTACCTGCTAAGCGCCCGGCCCCGTCCATAGCCCAGCGCCCGGCCCCGTACCTAGCCCCACGCACGGCCCCGTACCTAGCCCGCGCCCGGCCCCGTCCCTAGCCCGCGCCCAGCGCCCGGCCCTGTACCTGCCCAGCGCTCGGCCCCATCCCTAGCCCAGCGCCTGGCCCTGTATCTGCCCAGCGCCCAACCCCGTCCCTAGCCCAGCGCCCGGCCCTGTCCCTAGCCCGCGCCCGGCCCCGTCACTGCTGCTACTGCTACAGCTGCTGCTGCTGCTGCTACTGCTGCTACTGCTATCCTGCGTGTTGCACAGCTATGGCTTTACTTCGGGTTCTCGCGTTTGATCATGAGTGCAGATCGGTTCAGTTTGACACGTGGCTAGACGACCTGCAGCTGTACCTACTGAGCGATTCTAAGGAAAGTGTCTCGCTGTTTGACCTAGCGTCAGGCGGTGCTACTGCCCCTCCCACCACAGAAGACAGTTCGACTCGCTCACAGTGGCTTACTCGTGACGCTGCTGCCAGCTTAGCCATTCGCAACCACCTGCCATTAGCTGAATGCGCTCACTTCGGACAGCACAAGACAACGCAGGCACTATACGACGCTGTAATCGCCTGCTACTCCTCCCCTGCCACTGCTGCTCTAGGCCGCCTCCTTCTGCCCTACCTGTTCCCCGAGCTGTCTGCCTTTGCCATAGTCGAGGACCTGGTTTCCCACCTTCGCGCTAGTGACGCTCGCTATCGCGATGCCGTTCCTGCTGAGTTCCTTGACAGGAACCCGCCCCCGATGTACATCACTCTCTACTTTATAGTCACCCGCCTCCCTGACTCTCTTCGCTCTGTCAGGGACCACTTCCTCTCTCTTGACCCCACCTCCCTCACTGTTGACCTCCTCGAGCAGGATCTCCTCGCAGCTGAGACTAGTGCAGTTGCTGTAGGTGCTGCTCGTGGCACTCCGCGCCCGCCCTTCTTTGAGGGGTGTCCCCCCTCCCCCCTTGCCCCCTCCTACGCCTCTGCTGCTGCTGCAGTCGTCTCTGTTGCTGAGGACGTCGGGGGTGCTTCTGCTAGTGCAAAGCGCCGCAGCAGCAAGGGCAAGGGTGGCCGGGGTGGTGGTGGTGGCAGCGGCGGTGGTGGAGGTGGCAGCGGGAGTGGTGGTGGGGGCAGCAGTGGAGGTGGTGGCGGCGGTGGGACTGTTGGTGGGAGTGGGGGCTCTGGTGGCGGTGGTGGAGGCAGCGGTGGGAGTGGCGGCAGTGGAGGCGGTGGGACTGGTGGCGGTGGGACTGGAGCTCGTGTCGCCTCCTGTCGCACCAGACTCTTCTGTGGCACCACCGCCTGGGTCACCCCCCCCTTGCCTCGCCTTCGTGGCATGCACTCTCGTCTTCTTGTCTCTGGTCTACCCAGGTCTCTGCCTCCCCTGCCACCCTCGCCTGCCCCGTCTTTCCTCCCTTGCGTCGAGGGGCGGCAGCGCGCCGCTCCTCTCTCCTCCTCGTTTCCCCCGACGACTGCTCCCCTGCAGACTCTCCACATGGACGTGTGGGGCCCAGCCCGCGTCAGTGGACAGGGCCGCGAGCGCTACTTTCTGCTGGTAGTTGACGACTACACGCGGTACACCACGGTCTTCCCCTTGCGCAGCAAGGGTCAGGTCGTTGATGTCTTGATCCCTTGGATCAGCACGGTCCGTCTCCAGCTCCGCGAGCGGTTCAGCCAGGACCTTCCTGTCCTGCGTCTGCACTCTGACAGAGGTGATGAGTTCTCCTCCAACCTCTTGCGGGACTTTTGTCGTGGGGAGGGCATTCTCCACTTGTTCACGCTTCCGCACTCCCCTCAGAAAAATGGGATTGCTGAGCGCCGCATTCGCTTAGTCATGGAGGTCGCTCGTACCTCCATGATCCATGTGGCCGCTCCCCATTTTCTGTGGCCGTTTGCGGTCCGGTACGCTGCGCATCAGCTCAACCTCTGGCCCCGTGTCTCCTTGCCGGAGACCTCGCCCACACTGAGTTGGACGGGGGAGGTTGGCGATGCGTCGGTGTTCCGGGTCTGGGGATCTCGTGCCTTTGTTCGCGATACGTCAGCGGACAAGCTCTCCCCCCGTGCTATCCCCTGTGTCTTCCTTGGCTTTGTCCCCGATGCGCCTGGCTGGCAGTTTTACCACCCCACCTCGCGCCGTGTCTTCCCTTCTAAGGACGTCACGTTCGACGAGTCGGTTCCCTTTTACCGCCTCTTCCCCTACCGCTCTGCCCCTCCCCCGCCCCCGCCGCTCTTCCTTGCTCCCGGTCCCCCTCCGGTAGACCCCCTCCCGCCTCAGGGTCCTGCTCCCTTAGGTGTGTCTCAGGTAGACCCTCTCCCCGGTCCTGCGCCTGTTCAGGTAGCTGTCGACTCAGGTGCTGCTCGAGGTGCTGCGTCTGGGGGTGCGGAGCCTGGGGGTGCGGAGTCTGAGGGTGCTGAGACTGGGGTTGCTGAGCCTGGGGGTGTTGAGACTGGGGGTGCTGAGCCTGGGGGTGCTGAGCCTGGGGGTGTTGCGACTGGGGGTGGTGAGCCTGGGGGTGCTGAGCCTGAGGGTGTTGAGCCTGGGGGTGCTGCTTCAGAGGGTGCGGAGTCTGGAGGTGCGGAGCCTCAGGGTGGTGCTTCGTCTGGAGGTCTGCTGGTGCTTCGCTGAGACTGTCTCCGCAGCAGTTGCGTGAGTGGTTTGTTTGGCGTACGCGCTTTCGGAGTGGAGCTTCTGGAGCTGGAGGTGCTGGCGCTGCTGGAGTTGGAGGTCCTGGAGTTGCTGCTGGAGCTGGTGTTACTGGAGGTACTGCGACCACGGGTCCTGGAGGTGCTCGTACCAGGGGTAATGGAGCTGCCGGGACTGGTGGTGTTGAAGGTGCTGGAGCTGGAGACCTTTCCGTGTCTGGTACTCCTGGTGCTGGTGGCGCTGGAGCTGGAGGAGCTGGAGTTGGTGGCCCTGGCGCAGGAGGCGCTGGAGTTGGAGGCCCTGGTGTTGGAGGTGCTGGAGCTGGAGGGGCTGGAGCTGTTGCCCCCGGTGGCACTGTGCGGCCGCGACTGTACTTTGTTCCCCTGCTCCAGCAGGTTCTTGGTACCCTGCCTTCTGCTGCCCTTACTCCTCCCCTCCTGTGTCCCCCGCCTGACCAGTCGCAGCCTCCGTTACAGCCGGCCCCTCCTCTGTCTGCTCCTTCTCCTTACACTGAGCAGTCCGGCGGTCTTACAGAGCGTCGTGAGCCTGCGTCTCATCCTGTCTCGCCTGTTCGCACTGCTCGTCGCATTCCTCATTCGCGTCCTCCTTCTGTCCCCAGCACGCACGCTATGACCCTTCGTCCTTCCTTTGTTCCTCTACGTTTGCCTCTGCCTGCTCCTCCTGAGTCCTCTCTTTCTGCCGTCCCTAACCCTGAGTCTGACCGCGCTCGTGCTGCCAGTCCCACTGTCTCTCATCTCCCAGCCACTGCTGTCACTGACCCTTCTTTTGAGTCTGCTACTGCGTCTGCTCTCGTTGCTGAGCTGCTTGACTTTGCTGCTGCCTGTCGTCTAGACTACGCCACTGCTCTTGTTGCTGAGTCTGCGTCTGCCAGTCCTCCGTCCGTCGGGGGTGAGTGTGCTCTTGGCACGGACGTCCTTGAGGACAGGCAGGAGGAGTTTGAGTATCTTGCAGCTGCTGTACCTCGTTTCGCTTCCATGCTGCTTGCCCCTGAGGGAGACCCGGATGCTCCAGACATCCCGACCCCGCACTATTACACAGAGGCGATTACGGGTCCTTACTCCTCTCAATGGCAGGCAGCCATGGATGCCGAGATGGCATCCTGGAAGTCCACAGGCACCTACGTCGACGAGGTTCCCCCACCTGGGGCGAACATAGTCGATGGCATGGGGATCTTCAGGGTGAAGCGGCCGCCAGGTTCTCCGCCTGCCTTCAAGGCGCGTTACGTTGCTAGAGGCTTCAGTCACCGACAGGGAGTTAACTACTTCCATACCTTCTCCCCCACCCCGAAGATGACTACTCTTCGGCTGTTGCTGCACGTCGCTGCTCAGCGTGACTACGAGTTGCACTCTCTGGACTTCAGCACAGCGTTCCTACAGGGCAGCCTGCACGAGGAGATCTGGTTGCGTCGCCCACCTGGTTTCACTGAGTCTTTTCCTCCAGGTACTCAGTGGAGTCTTCGGCAACCAGTCTACGGTCTCCGCCAGGTGCCTCGCGAGTGGCACGACACACTGAGGACTACACTTGCGGCTCTTGGGTTTGCTCCTGCTACTGCTGACCCGCCGCTGTTTCTACGCACCGACACCTCACTGCCGCTGTTCTACGTCCTTGTCTACGTCGACGACCTCGTCTTTGCCACTTCTGACACTGAGGCACTGACTCTTGTGAAGTCGGAGCTGCAGAAGAGACACACTTGCACTGACCTGGGTGAACTGCGCGGTTATCTTGGCTTGCAGATCACCCGGGACAGAGCTCGGCGCACCATTACCCTGACTCAGTCACACATGGTGCACCAGGTCCTTCAGTGCTTCGGCTTCCAGTTCCCCTCGCCACAGCCCACTCCTCTGTCTACCAACCACTCGCTCTCAGCTCCACCTTCGGACGAGTCCGTAGAGCCGAGTGGTCCGTACCCAGAGCTTGTGGGTTGCCTCATGTACCTGATGACGTGCACTCGACCCGACCTCGCGTACCCTCTCAGCCTCCTGGCTTGCTACGTGGCTCACGGCAGGCACCGAAAGGTGCACTGGGATGCTGCGAAGAGGGTACTGCGTTACTTGTGCAGTACGTCGGGCATGGGGCTCGTGCTTGGAGGACGGGGTCCAGTTGTCCTCACCGGTCACGTAGATGCTTCTTGGGTTGACGACTCAGCTACGTAGCAGTCGTCACAGGGTTACAACTTCAGCCTTGGTTCCGGCTCTGTTTCTTGGTGGTTTACCCGCTCGTCTTCGGTTCTCAGCTCCAGTTGTGAGGCTGAGATCTACGCCGGGGCCATGGCTGCTCAGGAGCTACGCTGGTTCACCTACCTGCTGACCGACTTGGGAGAGTAGCCTCGTTCGCCTCCAGTTCTATACGTAGACAACAAGGCCATGATTGCCTCGTGTCAGGAGCACAGACTGGAGCACAGAACGAAGTATGTTGTAGCCCTTGACCGTGGTTATCTTTCCCAATTTGAATATTTTCAAAATATGGAGTATAACTCGAGTTATGAACTTCGGCGCACTAGGGGGTATGCTGCCATAGAAAAACGTAACTCAATCACAATTATCTCACAAGTTCACACAAGAAAGTTGGAGTAGCAATAGAACCAGGTAGGAGGGGATGAGGAGGACGAGAGGGAAGGTCCCAAGGGAGTCCCCAACCAAGGAAACCCCATACCACACAATTTCCCTCTCTATAGGCACCCCAACTTTGACATTTGTCACTTTCCCAACTCATGCCATCCACCTCACCCAACTTGGCCACACTTGCCAACCTGGTTTGGCTTCTCCCAACTATTTGGCATCATCTACAGTGATGGTGACGAATTTCCCAACCCCCAAAATTCTGTACCCCATATTGAGTCAACCCGCAAATTCCTTTAGTCGCCGCATCTCAATCAAAACTTCGAACGATCATATCTTTCTTGTTCTTGCTCCGATCGCGGCGATTCTCGGTTCGTCAGGAAGCTCTTAAGCAGAGGAGTCACTTCAGATATCTGCCCAATCCAAATAGAATTCACACACACTCAGAAAATCCAAACCATGCCAAACACACATTCTTGCACACACCACGCATGCAACGCACGAACATATGATGGGAGGTAGACAGACGTGAATGCAAATGATAGCATCACATAACAAGGGTATGATCACTGTATTGTTTGTTTCTCTTGTATATATAACACTGCATGTGAAATGGCCTTGTGGCCCTTTGCTTGTGCTCGGACTGTGTGGTGACTTTGTGATCCACCCTGAGCTTGCCTTGCTTTTCTTGACTGGTCTTGTGACCACTTGTTCTCCCCCACTTTGCCTATGGGGGTGTGTCAGAACATTATAGCTTTTACATTTGTGTAGGCTATAGTGGGGTAGCCCATAAGGGGTACAACCTGTTGGATGCACGTCATTCTGAGTGCATGTCATCCTAACATCCTGCCGAGTGCTCGTGCTATTCATGCGTGCATTGTTTGCATGAGCATTCGTCATTATGCATGGCTGTTGGATTTTACCATCTCTGTGTTTTCTCCAAGTTTAAATGCTTGATCATGCAGGAGAAATCCAGAGCTTTCCAACGATACCAAGATCGCCTTATTCTGACCAAGATCGCCGAAGTTACAAGATTTCCAAGACTTGGATTTCTTATTACATTTTAAGGTTATATCTAATTTGGGTGATTACTTGGGACATGACTATAAAGGGATCTTTGGTTGGGTGGTTAGGGAAGGCAACTTTGACTTTTGGATTGGGGTGGCTAGAAGTTTCTAGCATGGGTTGCAAATGTTGCAACACCTAGGCAAAATCCAACTAGATTGGATTTTGCATGTGACACCTCAAGGACCTCATGATGAGGGTTGCATCCTTGCTGCTAGGAAGGTTCCTACCATCCTTCGCTAGCTCTTGGAGAACCCCTTCCCTCTCATGGTTCTCTTGGAGTCCCCAACTCCAACATTCTATGCCTTAATGTTTGTACTTCCTCGACCATTCTAGTCATGCGGCTGCTGGACGTTTTTACTTGGTTCTCACTCTATAGACCATCTTGTCATAATATATTTGATATATGTTCTGTATAAGCGCATGTAGTTCTAGCTGTAGTGTAGTCTCATTATTGTCCTGTGTGGTGGTGCACCACTCCTTGCATGCTTCTCCTCTATTTGTACTTGTTTTTCTATAGTTGAATCACTCCTTTTGCTTGCACTTCTACTTTGCCTAAGGGTAAACCCTAGCTCCTACTCCTAACTAAGCATCCTAAGCCTAAACCTAGTTTCCTAGGTGCTTAGTATCTTGACACATCTTAACGACTGATTTAACTTGGAGATGGTAGCTTAGGCTAAGGCGCACAATCCTATCGAGCGGATTTGCGTTTAGTTGAGAATTGAGTTCGTCGAAAGCTCTAAAAGTGACGGATCCTGAACATCAAGTGGTGTCAGAGCGGGTAGTCGATTTTGAGACGACGAATCGTCGTGACTTCTTAGCCAATGTCAACGAGTGAGACCAGTTTCTAGTAGCTCTGCTCGTGAACTTTCGATTGGTGGTCGAACCGCTTTCTAAATCGAAGTATCTTTTCATAGAATCAAAACTTCTGGCAGAATTCTCTCCAAACGATTTCTCAAGTTTCCACCGTTCATAAGGCCTCTATATGACTGGAACGGACTCTAGAGGTGCTAATGGCGAGATGGCTGGAGCTAGAGAGGCTGGAGAGCAGGGGGGAGTTGCTGGTGGTGGAGTGGGGACTCACCAACCAGCCAACCCTACGCTACCTACTTCTTCTACTCCATCTCCTACTACCGTGGATCGTGTGAAAGCTTTCTCTATTGAGAAATTCATGGGGGAGGACTACGAGCACTGGAGTTTCCGCATAAGGCTGATGTATACCCAATACAAGCTATTGGATCTGGTGGAGGGGAAGGAGAAGATGCCGGATGCCGCGGAGCTGAAAGGAGCATGGATGAAGCGATCGTTCGACGCGTACATGCTCATGGTGCAAGCGGTTGGCGGACGACAACTTGACCACATCAAGGACCTCTTAGGTGATCCAGAGTGTGGCCCCAAGGCTTGGAGGAAGCTTCTGGATGTGCACTCACCGACACATGCTATCGGCATCGTGCTACTCGCGCGGCGGCTGCGCGACATCAAGTTCGTTGATGGAGAGCCGATGCAACCGGTGTTGGATGAGATGCGGGACATCTTCACGAAGCTCCAAGGCGGCGGTGTGGTGTACCCGGAGCTCGTGCAATGCGTGGAGATCGTGATACGGCTGCCGGAGTCGTGGTCTGCCCTAGCGATCAACCTCAACTCTCAACAGCCTCAGTGGAGCGTGGATTACATTCGAGCACGCATCATTGAGGAGGACTTGCGGCGGCGGAGTGTGGAGCGCTCGGAGGAGGGGGCTGGCTATGGAGTTGGAGGTGGAAAGAGTGGCTTCAAGAAGAAGTGGAAGGGCAAGAACAAGGACTACCCTAAGGAGGATGGCGGCGGGGGTCAAGGGGAGGTGTGCTTCTACTGCAAAAAGCGCGGACATCGTTGGCGGAAGTGCTACCAACGACCCAAGGATTGGACTCTGCCTTCATCGAGCAACCTGCATGGTGGCAAGAGGAGTGGGGGAGTCATGGGAGCTAGTGGAGAGGAGAAGGATGAGGAGAAAGGCGGCAAATCTGAGAAGCGGAAGGCCGGGTTCTTCTTCTTTGTGAACGAATGCGCAACCGACCTTGCTATGGCTGCCAAGGTTCTCCTACATCCCCTCACCCATTGGGTGATAGATTCCGGGAGCTCTTGGCACATGACTCCTCGCGCGGACCTACTCGATGAGATTCAGCCCGCACCCATCTCTACAGTCACATCCGCGACGGGCGCCAAGGCCAAGGTCATGGGCATGGGATGCGCCAAGTTCATGGGAGCGGATGGAGAGCTCGTGGGGCTGAAGAACGTGCTGTGGGTGCCGGACTTGTGCGCGAACCTGATTTCTACCGGCCGGTTGGGAGATGCGGGTGTGAACACCGAGACGATTGGCTCGGAGCGCTATCGTGCCTACAACGATGAGCGGCTGATTTGGGACCTGCAGTGGAAAGGGGATGTCCACAAGCGGATGTGGCAGATTGTTAGAATATATCTGTAACTGCCTGTAGCTGTAGTTAGTGTAGTTATTATAAACTTGTTGGTGGTGCACCTTCTTTGCATCCTATGTTTGCTATATGTACCCTAGTGCTATAGTGAACTTCATTCTCCTCTCTCGCCCCTCTCGACTTGGCACAAACCACCTCGACTCCCTTGGCCTAGGCTACTAAGCCTAGGCCCTCACCTAAACTTAGCCTACACTTTGCCTACTATCTTTTGACATGGTATTCAGAGCAGGGACCTTCCTGCTGCCTTCCTTAACGGGCCCACCAGTTTGCTTCCGCTACATGTCGTCCTGCCGCGCGCCTCGGGCGCGCGGCGATTTTCTGCCCGCCGTGTGCTCGGGGCGCACGGCGGTTTTCTGCCCGCCGTGCGCCCCGGGCGCGCGGCGTCTGCCTGCCTGCCTGCCTGCCCGTCGTGCGCCCCGTGGCGCGCGACGGTGCCCTGAGCCGCCGCGGACCCGCCCCTGGCGCCCGCGACGGTGCCTTGAGCCGCTGCGGACCCGCCCCTGGCGCCCGCGACGGTGCCCTGAGCCGCCGCGGACCCGCCCCTGGCGCCCGCGACGGTGCCTTGAGCCGCCGCGGACCCGCCCCTGGCGCCCGTGACGGTGGCCTGAGCCGCCGCGGACCCGCCCCTGGCGCCCGCGACGGTGCCCTGGGCCGCTGCGGACCCGCCCCTGGCGCCCGCGACGGCGCACCTGCCTCACATGCGCCTGCACTCGGTGCAGCCGCCCCTGCCCTAACCGCGCCTGCCCTCGGAGCAGCCGCCCCTGCCTCACCCGCGCCTGCCCTCGGTGCAGCCGCCCCTGCCCTTCCCTGTGCGCCACCCCACAGATCCCGGTACTCCCTTGGCGGAAATCGGGCAAGGCGGCAGCGGCGGCATCTATTGAGGAGAGTGTCACCGAGGAGGAGCAGCAAGGTGTGCAAGGAGAGGAGCTAATTGGAGGAAGCGCGGCGGTGAAGGCGTCGGCCGGCTACCTCGGGCCAAGCGGATTGGGAGACTTGGCATCGGCGGCTCGCACACGTGGCTGTTTCCACATTGGAGGTGATGCACAAGGAGAAGTGCGTGCATGGGCTGCAACTGCCAAGAGATGGCGCTCACTATGGCAGCTGCGAGGCGTGCATGCAAAACAAGTTTGCGCGGTTCCCGTTTCCATGTGCGGAGGGATCGGCGAAGGCACCCTTGGAGGTGGTGCACATGGACCTGGTGGGTCCTATGAGGACTGAGGGGACTGGGGGAGT